CAATTCCAAGGTACTTCTGAGTTCTAATTTGTAATATTTGATGAATGGAAGTCTTGATTTGTATGTATTGAACTTATTTGTTTGACGTTGTAACCGGTGTACGTGAAACTATTTTAATGTAATTGTATGAATTTAGAATATTGCGTTGTTGGCTTTTTGTTTAATTTAAAGTTGACTTTTCTATTGTATAGGTGATTTTTTATGATATGATAAAGACACCCCCTTGGCCAATTTTCTGGCTCCGCCACTGACCTTAGGTCTTTCTGACTTTGAAAAATACCATAGTTGAAAAATGGCTGAATTCAATAACCCAGCATATCTGGTATTTCGATGGTAAGGTTCCAATGCTGTATGTAGTTAGACAGCTGACTTACAGTGATAGAAACCCGCCCCAGCGGGTTGGGTGAATGGGGTCGGGCCACCAGTGGCATATTTGTTATTTCATGTTCTTTAGAACTCCTATTTAAGGGTTCAGCAACATACTTTTCAGATTAAGCAATTATAATCAAAGAATTACCAATCCCTAATCTCTTCCTCTCTCTTGTTCTTCCCCAATCTTCCAATCCCTAATTCTAAACTCTGGTTTCTATCATCTGGTATCAGAGCCAGCATGAGCTCGTCACAGCTCTATGATTATGAATGGACTCAACTACAGGAGCTGCTGCGTCAGACGTTGGACCGACGGAAGTAGGAGGCTCGGCGGAGGGCAGCGAAGAAGGAAGGAAGCGGCACCCTAGCGCCGCCCTTGTCATCGCGGCCAACCGCGCGCGCGCGAGAGGGTGCGGCCAAGAAGGAGCGCGGTGGGGCTAAACCGGCCGTCGTTTTGCTGCACTCCGTGGCGGGGCAAGCTTCGCAGGGGACGCTGCGGTTCCGAGCAGCAGTGGAGGGACGGACAGCCATGACCTTAGTCGACAGTGGCGCATCTCTCAACTTCATCAGCCTGGAGTTTGCCAAGACACTGAGCCAGGAGCCCACTGCGGTCAATTCGATCACCGTCAAAGTCGCAAATGGAGTACCCATGGGGTGCAGGCAGGTGTACCGAGGTATGACTCTCACTGTTCAGGGGTTAGATATCACGACCGACTTGTATGTGCTGCCAATCAGGGGGTTCGATGTGATCCTCGGTATACCGTGGTTGAGAAGCTTGGGTCCGGTAATTAGCGATTGGAGAAGCTTGACCATGTGTTTCAAGTGGAGGGATAAGGAGTGGACCTTGCAGGGGCTCACGACGGCGATGGGGCCCATCTCCATTCGGGAATGCGCGCCGGGATGGGAGGCCGAGGTGGCCGTGCTTTGCTGGCCGCTGGCCGAGACGGCGAAGACAGAGATCAGCGCCGAGCTGCAAGGGTTATTGGATCAGTACCCGGAGCTGTTCCAAAGCCCGACTACACTTCCTCCACATCGAGAGGTGGACCACCGGATTCAGTTAAAGGAGGGGGTGGAAGCAGTGAACGTTCGACCTTACCATTATGGACACTCACAGAAAGAGGAAATCGAGAGACAGGTGTCTGAGATGTTGGAGACCGGGCTGATCCGGCCAAGCACCAGCCCTTTCTCTTCACCAGTCTTGTTGGTCAAGAAGAAGGATGGAACTTGGAGGTTCTGCACCGACTATCGAGCTCTCAATGACGCAACGGTGAAGGAAAGGTTTCCCATTCCGACAGTAGATGACATGTTGGATGAGCTACACAGGGCGACCTACTTCACCAAGTTGGATTTGAGGGCCGGGTATCATCAGATCCGAATGCAGGAGGAAGACGCGCACAAGACTGCCTTCAGGACGCATAACGGGCACTACGAGTACCTAGTGATGCTGTTTGGGTTATGTAACGCCCCGTCCACATTTCAGGCAGCCATGAATGACATATTCCGACCTCTACTGCGACGGTATGTCCTGGTGTTTTTTTATGATATTCTAGTATACAGCCCGAGTTGGAAGGACCACATGCCCCATTTACAGACTGTGTTTGAAATACTGAAGAAGCACCAGTACTACATCAAGGCTTCTAAATGCGCGTTTGGAGTTCAGGAGGTGGAGTATTTGGGTCACATAGTGACGCCGCAGGGGGTACAGGTGGATCAGTCCAAGGTTCAAGCTATGGTTGAGTGGCCAGTGCCGACCAATGTAACTTACAGACTGTGTTTGAAATACTGAAGAAGCACCAGTACTACATCAAGGCTTCTAAATGCGCGTTTGGAGTTCAGGAGGTGGAGTATTTGGGTCACATAGTGACGCCGCAGGGGGTACAGGTGGATCAGTCCAAGGTTCAAGCTATGGTTGAGTGGCCAGTGCCGACCAATGTAACAGAGTTACGCGGGTTCTTGGGCTTGACCGGTTACTACAGAAAATTTGTGCAGGGGTACAGTATGATTGCGAGACCGTTGACGAACCTATTGAAGAAGGGAGGGTTCGAGTGGACTCCGGCGGCTGAGCAAGCATTTCAGGATCTAAAGTGGGCCATGACTACAACCCCGACTTTAGCAATGCCATACTTCTCCAAACCGTTTGTGATCGAAGCCGTTGCATCGGGGCGGGGAATTCGAGCAGTGCAATCTCAGGACCGACACCCGATCGCCTTCATGAGTCGGACCCTAGCACCGACCAAAGAGGCTTGGTCGACTTACAAGAAGGAGATGCAGGCCATCATCTCTGCAGTTCAGGCATGGAGGCCGTACCTACTGGGACACAAGTTCCACATATACACGGACCACCAGAGCCTGATGCATCTCTTGAGCCAGAAAGTCTCGACTCCAGATTAGCACAAGTGGGTCTCGAAGTTGTTGGGATACGATTATGAGATTCACTACCGGCCAGGCTCTACCAACGTCGTGGCCGACAGCCTGTCACAGTGTCAGGGTGGAGAGGCGGCAGTGACCGGGCCTGTACCTCAGTTTTGGGATGAGCTGCGGGCTCTCACAGAGACAGATCCGTACCTGCAGGAGTGTCGAGACATTGCAGTGAGTGAGGAGTCGGGGAACTACACATTCCGCGGGGTTCTGGTGTTCTTCAAAGGGCGTCTGGTCCTCCCACCAGGATCCTCATTGGTCACTACTATCCTACAGGAGTTCCACGATGCGCCCTTCGGCGGACATTCTGGGGTAGAGCGGACCCTACGTCGGGTCAGGGCACATTTTTACTGGCCTAAGATGGGTCATGCGGTTAAGGATTATGTGGCTTCCTGCGATACCTGTCAGAGGGTGAAGGTTTCGCAGCTGCGACCGGCCGGGCTGATGCAGCCATTACTAGTGCCGGAGCGGGTTTGGGAAGACATCAGCATGGATTTTATCATGGGTTTGTCGCCTTCAGGAGGGAAGACGGTGTTGTTCGTGGTGGTGGATCGGCTCACGAAATATGCTCACTTAATGCCTCTAGCTCACCTATACACGGCGCGGGGAGTAGCTGAGCAGTTCGTGAGCGGAGTGGTGCGTCACCATGGGTTTCCTAGGACTATTATCAGTGATCGGGACCCTATCTTCCTCAGTCACTTTTGGCAGGAGGTGTTCACCATGGCCCGGACGGCACTACGGATGAGTTCAGCATACCATCCCTAGACGGACGGTCAGACGGAGGTGATTAACCGGCACCTGGAGCAGTATCTCTGCTGCTTCACACACCAGCAGCCGAGGAATTGGTTGGCCATGGTTCCGTGGGCTGAGCTGTGGTATAACCCCACATACCATCGAGCTATCGGGACCACACCATTCGAGGCGATGTACGGAAGGCCACCTCTATCTCTGGTGCGATACCGGAATGGGAGTAGCTCGGTCGATTCGGTCGACAGGTGGTTGGGTAACCGGGATGAAGCCATAGCACAGTTAAGGGCTAACCTGGCTGCTGCCAACAACCGGATGAAGCAGCTGGCGGACTCGGGTAGGCGCGAGGAAGAGTTCGAGGTAGGGGACCTGGTGCTGCTGCGATTACACCCCTACCGACAAGCGACAGTGTTCAGACGAGCTTATCAGAAGCTGGCCGCGCGATACTTTGGGCCCTATGAGATTCTGCAGAAGGTCAACCCAGTAGCTTACCGATTGCAGCTGCCGGCAGATGCCCGCATCCATCCGACATTCCACATTTCCTTGTTAAAGCGCTACAAGGGCCCGGCGGATCGGGTGGAGACTACTGCGCCCCCGGTTAATGCAGATGAGGACTTGGAGCTGACACCTTTGGGGGTGATAGAGACACGCTGGACCAAGAGGAAGGGCCGACTCATCGAAGAAAGCTTGGTCCAGTGGAGGCATGTCGAGCTGGAGGACGCAACTTGGGAGGAGACTGCGATGCTGCTTGAGAAGTACCCTACGTTCGACTTTGAGGACAAGGTCGGTTCTGAAGAGGGAAGGGATGATAGAAACCCGCCCCAGCGGGTTGGGTGAATGGGGTCGGGCCACCAGTGGCATATTTGTTATTTCATGTTATTTAGAACTCCTATTTAAGGGTTCAGCAACGTACTTTTCAGATTAAGCAATTATAATCAAAGAATTACCATTCTCTAATCTCTTCCTCTCTCTTGTTCTTCCCAATCTTCCAATCCCTAATTCTAAACTCTGGTTTCTATCATACAGTACCTATGATCCATTTCCCAGTTTCAAGATAACGAATTTTCTTCACCACCTGGCTAGCTTAGCTTAGAAGAAGAACAAAAACTAACCCTTGTGAGCTTTACTTGCCTTGCATCATGATCCTACGTCTTGGAGCTAGTAGTAATAGCAGATGTATGAATAAAATGAAAAGGAAATCGGAGTTAGTAGAACCATCAGTAGCGGTAGAGCCTAATATGTAGATAAGACATTATCTATACTATATTCACCATAATCCAAAGAAACTAGCTTCTTGCAGTGTGTTGCTTGCTTCAAACATATATTTTGAGATAACTGTACTTTATTATCCCTTATAATCCTTTCTCTTCTTTTGTTTGTTGGCTCATGTTGTTAGCTCTTATGGGCAAGTTAATAAATTTCATATATGCAGCTCATGGATCTCAAGGATAACAAAGAAGGTATTTATGGTGCTCCGGATGATTGGGTTGTTGGCTCTTGAGAAGGAACAGCAGTGGCATCGGATTATTCAGGTGCAAACCACTTTTCCTTTCTGTTACAGAATCAAATTACATGTTAAATAATTTGTAGAACAGCTCTTGCATGTACATAATTTGTGTGTATGTCCATTTTCATTAGGAAGCAAAATTTAAGTATTAATTTGTCTTCCCTAATCATCCTGCCTCTTTATATGTCTCTTGAGTTTACACTCTGTAGGTTAAGCTTTAAAAAGCAAAAATTCTAATCATTCTGATAGTACTCAATTAAATGGATGTTGAGCAAGGGTCAGGGAAACACAATGGGAACGTACAGGCAACTAATACGTGCATTGGATGAAGACTGCCGAGCAGAGGAAGCACATACTGTTTGGCTGAAGAAAGTTGGTACAGATCTTCATTCCGTGCCTTGGAAGTTATGCAGCATGATGATATCGGTATACTACAGAAACAACATGCTAGATAGGCTTGTTAAGGTAAAGCTAATGTGTTCATATTTTTGTTGATGAACTCACCGCCTGTTTGAGCTACTACATTTCATATCCATCTGACCATATGTAGTTTCACTGCTTGCAATCAACTCACTCAATCCAAGACTAATGATTTCATGACTTTGCATTCTTAAAGCTTTTCAAGGACATGGAAGCATTTGATCGGAAACTCTATGACAAGGTTATAGTCCAGAGAGTAGCAAATGCACAGGAGATGCTAGGTATGCCAGGAGAGAAAGAGCGAGAACTTCGAAAGTATGCTGGTGTTTTCTCTCAGACCAAGAAGAAGAAACGGTTTGTGAATAGACCTGAACAATCTGCTACTGAGGGGAAGCCATAAGGTGGAATTGTTCTCCTTTAGTTTTTGCTTAACACTGATTGAATCCAATACAAAATTACCAGGGGAGTATTACCTTCGTCGATAGATTGTTTGACAAAAACTCTAGACAATAAATTAGGGCTTTAGAAGCAATTGTTACGCCCTGGCATTAATCTGGCCTCGCTCTGGCAAGGTCACTTGAGCTCAGGACAAGCCCCAACTCGACAACTTCCATCTTTCATTGACAAGACCAGAATCGAAGGTTAAACCAGAATTATCAAGTATTTCGGCAAACGCTCAACAAAAATCACATTATCTGTATACTCTGCAATGAGAAAGAAAAAATTGACAAATACCGGAACAAGACAAGTACATACATCTTCCTGTATTGGGTTTTACATTTGTGCAAATGCCTTTTAAGTTCAAGCTATCCAGGGAGGATGGGAAGAGGGTTAACTGTAGTTATATCATGCTAAGAAAGAGGAACGGGCCTGACAACGAGACAAATTGGTGCATCTAGAAAAGCAAAAGGGGCAGGAAGAAGAAATAACATGTGAAAGGTTGAAGGAATTGGGAAGGAAGCTCTCGCTGCAATCTTATTACTCTACCAGACTCATTCTTCCCTGTTCTGCTGTAAATATGTCTACCTAGAATAATGATAAGATTCCAACCACAGTATACTCCATGGTCTTTAATATCCAAAAAAATTAGCTCAAAGCTAGCCGGCACACGAACAAAAAAACCCGGCAGAGCTTCCTTTTTAGGAGGACATTTTCATTTGGATCTGCCGATGGATATGAACCAGGAACTCCACGTACGAGAGACCGCCGGTTGGTACTTTGTCTTCAATCAGGTACGAGAAGAAGGCCATTCCTGCATTGAGGTACAAAAAAAAGGGTTTAGTCGTATAATCAGTATGTGACCAATCCTGGATTGAGGAAAGAAGGCAAGGTGCTTAAGTTCAGTAACTCACCTGATTGTTCTCCCTTTCTACACAACCTCAACCTGCAAGAATATCGCGACAAAATTATTAACAGAAAGCAAATTATTAACTCGGTTCAACAAAAAAGAAATCAACTATAAATACCTGAGGAATGAACATCTCTGTCTGCGTATCTCATTTATCACCTCGTTTAACTTCTTTGACAATGGATTATCATATTGCTGCAAGTTGAACTCAGCACCCCCCTGTTCAATCCCCAGAAATGAGTAACCATTTAAGACACAACTTACAGAAATCTAAACATCAAAGAGGTACAGACATAAGGGTGTGTAACCATCCACACCTTACTTGAACCAACCACTTGGATCAAACAATTTGATTCTGTTTTGACTTTCAGATTAAAAAGTTATTCACTTCGACTCTATGAATCCTCTTAAAACCATAGAAAAGGCGAATTGAACCGCAACAAGACTGCACTGAATTGGGTGGAATGCACTTTTGATCCGATTGTCTGATTTTGGACCGGAGCGAATCGGTCGCCAATTTACAAATTTATGAAGTTCCAACTCCAGACTAACAATGCCAGACAAAAATTACTGCAATGGAAATTAAGATAACCTGATCAGCCGAGGGAACTCCAAGCGATTGCTGCAAGATGTCAGGGTTGACCGAGTTCCCAACATATATCAAGCAATCTTGACCATTCTCCAGAAGATAAATTCCTTCATCACTGACATGTTCACTAGATAGTGGAAGTGGAGCAGGAACAATTGAACCATTCACTTCCTGTCAACAATAAAAGAGTAAATTTTGAAATTTGAACAGATATTATACAGGGGCAGCAAGGGTGGATTATAGTAATGACAGCATGCCTGTGTATCCAGGTCATGAACAGCAATCATCCTTGGGTAAACCAGTGGAATTGCCGACGGAGTAGAAACTGAGGATACATAATTGATCCAGAAAGAGCGATCATCTATCTTCCCTTCAATCCTTAGTCCAGCACTCTTGATTAAGGCTGTAAAATAGGAGCAACAAACGAAGTTGTAAGACACTACAGGTGTTGAAACAAGCAAAATGTGTGTGCTCTACATGACTTCTTTTTATTGTTTTCAGAAGGTTTCAGAAAAGTGGAAGCATCTTCTTTTATTCATTATAACTTTATTTATGAATAGTATTTTGCCTTCGATAAATCAGTACAATGGATCTGGTTGGCTTCCTAGGATGCATTCATAGATGCAACGGGAAGGGTTGGAATCGGTTTCAGTTTTGGTTAAGCAACACCAAGGAAAACAAGAATTCAGTGAAAGCAAAAAAATTAACCAAATTATGCAAAAGCGTCGCTAAAATAAAAGAGTCAAGTAAATTTGATTATGTTTCAACAAAATGATTTAGTAAGTTCCAGCCGATTCAACCAATGAGTGAAAGAAAGGCCCTTTCAGCTTCGATAAATTTCATTTTTGTTAACAAGAAAAAGTGGAATTTAACGAAATATAATACCAACTCATTCATAATATATAATGCGGAGTTTGTTTCTTATTTTTGTTCAGCCAAGGAACCATTTTCCCACCCTTAGATTTGGTTCAGAGCGTTGCGCACATAATAAAAAACCATGACAACGAAGGAACAGGTCTGAATTTTTAACACATAATAGAGCCATAGAGCATCAGAGACTACACACGTCAAGTACAATGGACACATGCGGTATGGATACAGTAATGAGACCTAAATATGGAGAAAAATACCAAGAGTGTATAGAGGCAGCAGTTTGAGTGCTTCTGGAAGAATAAGTTGCCCTGAGGATGACACTGTCGCACAAAATTTCCGATATGAAAGTAGAATGTTTATACAGAAGTTTGTAACTTGTTCACGGACGTGCAAGGGTGGGGTGATGGGAATTTCACGTGCAGCTGTCAAAATAAGGTGAAGAGTAAGATCAATTTTGCACAGTGATTGAGACAGAGTTAATACGAATGCAAAGATGCAGTACATTATTAGTTTCAGACATTAGACTGCTAACAAAATCCACCTTAGAAGATGCTAATGAAAATGAAAAATGAGATGGACAACAGGGGATCTGAAAGGAACAGAAGAATGATAACTGAGGTATGCTTGAAATACCTTGCTTCAGGAAACATACAAATTGAGTATCTAAGTCAGCCATCCGGAACAAGTTACTCAAGTTGCTTGTGCACGGCAGGGATAGCGTAGTAACACGAATTCTTCTCTCACCATAAACAGTAGTGTATAGAAGTGCACACTGCATCATGAATTACGAGAGTGAACCTCAATGATATCAAAGCCAAAACCTTATAATTAAGCAGTATAGTCATTCAAGCAGTCGGGGAAAAAGCAACTATAGGTTATTTGGTCAGATGATTAGGTCAATAGATTAATATTAAGCCATTCAACATAAACCTTTGATTATTTGAACATAGATGTTTTGGGCTTTATGTAATTGCCACAACTAGATATACATACATCTAATGAAAAAAGAAGCTTAGAGGAACAGAAAGTATAATGCACAATGGATAATTAAGAAACGTATTTCAAGAAAGATGAAGACATGAGCACACCTGGAAAGCACATTCTGCGCCATCCTGCAACTTGTCATCGTGTTTTAAAGTCACCATTATAGCTTTATCACAATCAATCTGCAAATGACAGAAATTACTTCTAGGTTAGAAAAGTCAGGAAGAACCCAAACAAATATTTTTACCCCCATTAGAATAGTACAAAGGAGAATGTAAAGCACATTCCCAATCATGTCTCTAAAGTTTTTTTCCAGGAAGCCTAAACACCCTTGTTAAATATATCAGAAAACAGGTGACTAAAACCGCCGGAATTTTAGACATCATCTCCATAGGACATCAAGGGATCTCAACCGTCAGATTTTAAGATGACACTTAAAAAGTATTTTAGGTCCAGCAAGGACCTTGAATTGGTACTTTCAAAAGAAAATAATCTACATAAACTGCAATTATAGGCATTGTAATTTAGGTCCAACAAACATCTAGGCAGTGGTCAAATTTCAGTATGTAACAAAGCATCTCATGGGAAGCTATTCTAACCCCAGGTAGGTCAACATCAGTAGGAATCCGCTTGCAGAAGTTTCCATGGTATTCTTGAACTTGAATTCCCTATAACAAAAAGACCAAGAAAATAAAATCAGCCCACAAGCATCATACTAATTTGGATAACAGTAAATTGATTCCAAATAGCATGAGTTCCAAAAGAATTACCTGGCTGCACCTCACTCGCATAACTGCTTCAAATCCTTGAGGCCTTGAGACATTCCATCTAAGATCATTATAAAGCTTTACGGAATCTAAAACTACTGAAAATGGATGATAATAATAAACCTGCAATAAAGCAGTTATGAGTCAAACCTTGAAATCATATGGCTAATTATAGATCCGCACACGGTCGAACTACCACATTGTTCAGAAAGTACATATTTATGATTGGGTGATCTAAATAAAATGACCGAAACCAGGACTTGCTAACATTGTCATCCAACTAAAATAAGTAAATAAGATGTGTTCTTGGTGACATCAAATATGTCATGGTCAACCTTTCCCATGCCAAAAAGTACACAAAGAGTGACATGCTAATATATAAAGTGAATAACACAAATAAGATGCAAACACCAGTAGACTGCAGACAAAAGTAGCTTCCTAGTATCTTAGTATGATGGATATCAACAATACAGCATTGCCAGGAAAACCAAATATATCTTGCACGCAGTAATAGTATCCTGAAAGTACCTGCCCACCAGTAACTTTCGGGATGACAGAGATAGAAGCAATGTCGACGTATGTCTTGGTGGTGATGAACACATCAACACAAACCTGTAGAAAATAGGAAAAGGAAAAGGCAAAAGAAGGAACTTAATAACCAAGGTTTGTGATTAAATATTAGGCAAACTATAGAAATCTTCATTTTTCATCCAGATGGCGAGACGGGAAAACAATATGCGACCTGATATTCTGCAAATTCAACTGCCATGTCCTTTAGAGTTTTGTCAGCAGGCTGGAGTAATTTATGAGCCTCCTGCACAAGCTTTCCACTTATAAAA